GTATTAGATACTGTCTAATGCTGATGAACTATAATCCATGGGGCAGATCATCAGGCACTTTAAGTTCTCAGAACTCCCTATCTTAAAACTCGGATAAGGATTTCTCCTTCAGGTAAAATTAGTGAAATGCAAAATAAATAACAAATGCATTCTTTCCGCCATGGTCTCCTCCACCTGCTGCAAGGGAATCCCTCCTCCAGTGCCTGGGGCACTTCCTCCCCTCATTCTTCACTGACTTTGGTGTTTGCAAGGTTGAGTTTGTTTTCTTTTCCTTACTACTTACACTGCTGTGCAGCATTTTGCCACTTCTTAAATATATTTTCCCATAGACATCAACAGCTTGCTGCCACAACCAGTACAACAGGCAAAATTCAGTGCTCAAGAAAGTTCCCTATCAATCATATTTAATTCCTTAATATTTTTCATAGATTTTCCATCCTTGTTGAGAAACTCTATTCCTTCCCTCTCCCTTCTGAAACAAGACATTGAAGATCCCTCCATAAGAAAGGGAAGTAGGATGGAGAAAGTCAGAGTCAAAAACTGGGGAGACAGATGACTGAGCAGACAGCATGACTGGGTGAGGGAAAAATCTGTTAGGACCGACAAAATAATACTTCAGGAAGGCATTGGTATATTATAGGTATTGTTATTAATAATTAACAGGAAGAAACTGACAGTGTGTTCCATGCACTTGTATTTAGTATAGGTGGCAAGGTTTTGTCCACTGCGAGGGCAGGCTGGGGCTGTCCTGTAGTGAACAGAGCCAGTTTCAGCCATCTCCAGTGGACCCACTGCAGGGCACAGTTCAGCCTGCCAATGATGATACTGGCATCTCTGGGAAAACATATTTAAGAAATGGTGAAATGTCACACAGAAGAGTGAGTTAAAAAAAGAAGAGTGATAAACAACCTAAGGTCAGTGAAGAAGGAGGGGGGTGAGATGCTCCAGGTGCCAGAGCAGAAATTTCTTTGTAGCCCATGGAATAAATCATGGCAAAGCAGGTTGTTGCCCTGCAGCCCATGGAGGGCAACACTGGAGCAGACACCCTTCTTGCAGTCCTTGGAGGAAGCCCACACTGGAACAGGTGCACATTCTCTAAAGGAGCCTGAGGAGAGTCCACACTGGAGCAGACTTATCCTGAAGGACTGCAATGCATGGAGAGGAGCTACACTGGAGCATGGGAGAAATGTGAGGAGGAAGGAACAGAAAAGGGGATCTGTAATGAACTGGTTGCATCCCCCCCATCCACCATCTCCCTGCACTGCAGGGAAAATGAAGTTGAGCCCTATATATTGAAGGGGAAAGAACTTGAGCCTCAGAAAAAAAAAGGGGGAGGTGTCAGTAAAGTGGTTTAGTTTTTGTTTCTTACCACCTAAATCTATTTTAATTGACGATAAATTAAACTGATTTTCTCCGTGTCAAATTTGTTTTGCCATTGATGACAATTGGTAAGTAATCTCTCTGTCTTTCTCTCAATCCACAAGCTTCTTTATTTTACTTTCTCCCCATGACCTGTTGAGGAGTAGGAGTAAGAGAGCAGCTGGGTTGGTGTCTGGCAGCTGGCCAAGGTCAATCCACCACAGCACCATGTAGATACACAGTGTCACAATGACTACCTGTGTATTTCCACCCTTCTCATGTGTGTGTGCTTTCTTGATCTCATTCTGTCTAGATAAATGCATGTAATAAAGAAGGCATTTAGATATATTTCTCCTATGCTTTATATCATACACAGTAATACAACCTTTGTTTACATTTACATGGCCCAAGAAAAATGTATGCCCAGGCCTCACACCTACTCCTCTCCCACACCTGAAGTCAAATTTATCCCTATTTTAAGAATATAATTCAAAGCTGACTAGACAATTACTGCATAACAACAATTTTAGAGAAGTAACATGAAATCTTAAGCCTGATTCTCTACTGTTTTATCCATAATGTGACAAAATGTACTACAGCAAAGAAGGCAGACCACAGGGAAAAGGAAAAGTAAAAAAATGCAGCTTCCCATCTTTAGCTGCAAGCTGTGTTTCTCAATTAGATACCATAAAATGATCTATATGAATCTGAGTGATAACATTAACACACAGCTAAATTAAAAATTATTTATGTTGGTCATCTTAAATGAGAACAAAATATTTTTTATCCATTGGGGGATTCAAGACCGTCTTTTCTTCAAATGTGTTCTGCATGCTTATCCTAATTCCTGACTGGGGACTCTACACATTACTAAAATTCAAATGTTGAATCATAATAATTATGTTAGAGAATTAAAAAAACAGTATTGGGACTAATTTTGTATCCTTCCACTTGAAAATCCATTCTCCCTTAGTTATCTTCAGTCAAGCCATACAAGACTCACAGGGAGCCATAAAAGGAACTAAAAATAACCTTACATAGCTTTTCTAGGCATAAAAATGTCATACTTTCACCTCAGAATCTTCCTGGGACAGAATTAAATTCTGTGTATGTCCCACTTGGACAATGAAAATTTTCTTTTCCAAAACCTTCTTTTTAGAATTACTTTTTATGTACAATTAAGAATAAGTGCACATAATCTCCTTTAAACATTTTTAGGCTCATAAATAGCCTGGTAGTCTGTGCTGGTGTCAGTAACAGATGCACGAGTGTAACGAGTTGTAAGATGGTTAAGTGGTAAATATTCACAAGGCCAAGAGCAAGTGGGGCTCTTCAGTAGGAGTGTGTAAGAAGATATGTTTCATATTAGACTTCAGACCCCAACTGTGTTGACTTTATTCATCATAATTGAACTGATTTTACATGAAAAGAGAGGATGCTTTTGTGTTAAGACTTGATAACCTCTATGTAAAACCTCTCAAAGTTTAAATAGAACAATATGATTTATGTTTTTTAAAGATAAACTTTTGCTTTCTCCATGTGAGGGCTAACTGAGAACTACTGTTATACTCTAGTTTTTCATTACTAGAAGTCCTTTGAAACAGTGGAGTTATAGCAACCAAATAGGTTAATGATGAGGAAAATTAACCCTTTAGTGAAGCACATATGCTGAAATTTCCAGTAATACTGTGCCCTCAGAATACAATATCAGGAAGCACTGCAAAATTAATGCATTTATTTTCAAAGGTAAATAATGCTCTAATCGTAGTTGCTTATCAATACTAATAACAACTGTCACAATCATGAAAAAGTAGCCCAGAGCCATATTATTAAAATAGCAGAAAAAGAAAGGAAGAACGGAAAAGGCACATGATATGACTTTGAAGGAGAATCTAATGATTTAAACACAAAACCAGAAATGCTTCACACATTTATGCACCATGGCAATTTTATAAACATTTCAGTTTTCCTTCTCATTGCATTTTGTACCTCTCAAAATGAATTGATATTCTTCAGTTGTGCTTCATTTCCATTTTGAAAGAGACAAAGAATTTCCTGCATGAAAATACTCCAGAAAGATTTCCAGGGTTAGCTTTATGAAAAAGACATTTTCAAATCAAACACAATTGTTGTAATACATTCTACATCTTGCATCTACATCTACATTTTGCATCTAGATTAGCATCAAATTATTTGTATTGAACGGTTTTATTCTGCCAGTTAAAAATTAATCATTAATATTGTGTTGGGTTTTATGATCTCATAAGCAGTGCACAAAGTACTACAAGTAAGCATGTCTCTTCAGGCTGAATAGAAAATGGATACTGTACAGTCTTGCTAGATTCTCCCCCTGCCAAGATTAATACAAGTACTTACAGTTTTTATGACACATGAAAATGTTGAGATGGGAGAGTTGTTTTTTAGCAATCTTCCTCTTCATTTTTTTAGCAATCTTCCTCTTCAAAGAAAAACATTCCTAAAACCAAAATCCACTATTTTACATGTAGACTGGGAGATATTTATAGAAATGTTTGAGTGGCTTATTTACATACAGAGTACTGCATTTCCTCATTGGTTTCCAATTCCTTCGAAGTTCAATCTCTTTCAGAGTGGGGGTTTTTTGAAAGAAAAATCTTAGTAATTTTAAAAGAAAATGAAGGCATGCAACCTCCTTGAGGAATAATATTTGAGTGAGCTTTCTTTTATATTTTTTATTTGCTATCAGACAGTTTTCACATTTGAAGCTATAAAACTCTGAGAATTTCTTAAAGCATTCAGTATTTTATTTGCAGATCCTGGAAACTGGGCAGACCTTGAAAATGTAAGGCCTGATTTTTTAAGGTCTTATGACTCATATAATCATTCCCACCTGTAAAAGGGAATACAATGCTAATTTCTGGTAAACAGGTATGATTTTTGGTTTTTTTTCCCAGTCAGATATATCAGGGCAGTATGCTGCATCCACTTTGAAATCTTCTGCCACAATCATAATAAACACAAAACCTGCAGCGTTTAAAAAACTGCAAGGTCCAGTACTTCTCTTGAGTCCACTAATATGTCTCTTGTCTTTGACTCAGGTATTGACTTGCAGAGAAGATTATGGCTAGGAGAAGGTGGAAGGAGGTGAGAAAGCAGAAACAAAACTCTTATATATTTATATGTGTGTGTATGTATGTATATGCATGAATTTATGAATGTTAGATTTAAAAACAACCACCCTGATGCATACAGTTTTCCATCCCTGCCAAGTGCCTGCATCTTAAGATCTAATCAATTGGAACATATATTTAGTGTTAGTCAATTTACAGGGATACCATGGGGATCAATTTATCACAAATTGTTCATTGATTTCGTAATTGACATGCTTTTACCAAATCATGCAAATGGCAATTACATTACTAGTGGCTTTAGTAGTTTAAACTAGTTTATAGAAAAGAAAACTGCATAAATAAATTAACAATAACACTATTTCAAACTAGTATTACTACAGCTTTTTCTCGACATTAATAATATAGCATGAGTAATTGTGAGTATCTGAAAAGAGTGCATGCCTTAGTTATCTGTCTAGAGGTAAGATTATACTACAGTCAAAAGGGCCTTGACTCATTTGCTCACAAATATGAACATTTACAGAGTCATAGAATCACAAAATCGTTCAGGTTGGAAAAGACCCTTGGGATCATCAAGTCCAACCATCAGCTTTACTCTACAAAGTTCTCCTCTACACCATATCTCCCAACATCTCATATAAGTGACTCTGTTTTGCTGATTAAGGATACCAATTAAATTTACAGACCAGAGTGAAAAGGTGTCTTTTACTGGTGATAACCAAATAATGTAACAATGTAATACAGAAAACATGCGTAAGAAAAGGCAGAATAGTGCACCTAAAGCAACAAACAGGAAAATACAGGGTAATGCATCCAATCGTTACTACATGAGAGAGAGGACAGTGATGAAGAAAGCTCCATCACCACTTGCATACGTTCCCATCACCCAGCCCCGCAGTGGCTGCACAGCCCCGGTTACAGCGAGGGTTTGGGGAGCCTGTCCCGGCAAGGGGGAAATCCTACGTGGTGCCTCCACCTGTAGGTGAGGCTGCCAAAGTCGCTGTGAGCGGGTCCAGCCTGATATACCAGAGATCGACAGGCCGGAATAGCTGGCACCTTTGTTTTGACCAGAAAATTTCCTGGTTTCATTCTCCTGTTGGTTTCCACCCAAAGCCTGGCCAGGGCTCAGGGGAGGGAACCAAGGGAGTTTCTAACTAGGCCAGATACTTGGCCAAGGCTAAACAAGGGAAGTTGGATACATTCTCTCCTCACTACCGATTATATTTTGTCTAAGCTGCATCTTTCCCTAGCGAGCTTACATACTTTGTTAATGATTACACACTAAGCGTCTTCGGCTTGGGGCCTGTTGTTCAGGCTTCAGTATTTCAATGCTTCAGCACTTTTTACAGCAGCACAAGTGGGTTGTTATAACTTAGTACAATACCTACAGCACAGTGGTTGTCAGTTATAAAATATACAGGATTCATCTATAGGTCATCTCAGGCTTGGGCTGGTTGTCCAAGCCTTAGCACTTCAGACCCTTAAACACATCCAGGGATGGTGACTCCACCACCTCCCTGGGCAGCCTATTCCACTGTCTGACCACTCTCTCTGCGAAAATTTTTTCCCAGTCTGAGCCTCCCCTGTTGCAGTTTAAAGCCATTCCCTCTTGTTCTGTCACTAATCACCTGTGAGGAGAGACCAGCACCAACCTCTCTACAATGTCCTTTCAGGTAGTTGTAGAGTGATAAGGTCTCCCCTCACCCTTCTCTTCCTCAAACCGAACAGCCCCAGCTCCTTCAATCTCTCCTCACAGGATTTGATCTCCAGGCCCTTCACCAGCTTCCTTGCCCTCCTCTGCACTCGCTCCAGCACCTCGATATCTCTCTCGTATTGAGGTGCCCAAAACTGGACACAACACTCCAGGTGTGGCCTCACCAGTGCAGAGCACAGGGGGACTATCACCTCCCTACTCCTGCTGGTCACACTATTTCTAACACAAGCCAGGATGCCGTTGGCTTTCTTGGCCTCCTGGGCACATTGCTGGCTCATGTTCAGCTGCTTGTCAATTAGAACCCCCAGATCCTTCTCTTCCAGACATCTCTCCGGCCACACCTCCCAAAGCCTGTAGCCATGTAGGTGGTTGTTGTGGCCCAAGTGCAGGACCTGGCACTTGGCCTTATTGAAACTCATCCTGTTAATGTTGGCCCACAGATCCAATCTATCCAAGTCTCTCTGTAGATCCTCCCTATCCTCATGTAGAATGACACTCACGCTTAACTTGGTGTCATCTGTGAACTTACTGATGATACACTCTGTCTTTATCAAGATCATCAATAAAGATGCTGAGCAGAAATGGTCCCAACACCAAGCCCTGAGGAACACCACTTGTGACCGGCCGCCAGCTGGATTTAGCTCCACTGACCACCACTCTCTGGGACCGTCCATCCAGCCAGTGTTTGGCCCAGCAGACCGTTCGCTCGTCCAGGCCATGGGCAGCCAGTTTTTCTATGAGAATTATATGGGGAACTGTGTTGAAAGCTTTTCAAAAATCCAGGTAGACAATATCCACAGCTTTTCCCTCGTCCAATAGTCAGGTCATCTTGTCATAGAAGGAGATCAGGTTTGTCAGGCAGGACCTGCCTTTCATGAATTCATGCTGACTGGGCCTGATCCCCTGGTTGTTTATTATATGACTTTGAATGGCACCCAAGATGACCTGCTTCATGATCTTCCCTGGCACAGACATCTGACTGACAGGTCTATAGTTTCATGGATCCTCCTTTCTGCCTCTCTTGTAGATGGGTGTCACATTTGCCACCCTCCAGTCCAAGGGTACCTCCCCAGTTAGCCATGACTTCAGGTAAATCATGGACAGCGGCTTGGCAAGAACATCTGCCAACTCCCTCAGCACCCTTGGGTGTAACCCATCCGGTCCCACAGACTTGTGTGCATCCGAGTGGTGCAGCAGGTCTCTGACCACCTCCTCTTCAACTGTGCTGACCTCAGTCTGCTTCCCCTCCCCATCTCCCAGCTCCTGAGACTGGGTGTCCAGGGAACAGCCAGTTCCACTGATAAAGACTGAGGCAAAGTAGGCGTTGAGCACCTCAACCTTTTCTTCATCCTTTGTTACCATGTTTCCCTCTGCATCTAATAAAAGAGATTTTTCCCAAATCCTCCTTTTGTTTTTAATGAATTTATAGAAACATTTTTTATTATCCTTAACAGCTGCATCCAAGTTGAGCTCTAGCTGTGCTTTGGCTCTCCTAATGTTCTCCCTGCATAAATTCACTATATCTTTATAGTCTTCATGAGAGACCTGGCCCCTCTTCCGAAGGTGATAGATTCTCCTTTTGTTTTTGAGATCCAGCCAAAGATCCCTGTTTATCCAGGCTGGTCTCCTTCCCTGCCTGCTTTTTTTTTTTTTTTTTTTTTTTTTTTTTGGCACAGGGGAACAGCCTGTTCCTGTGCCTTTAAAACTTTGCTCTTGAAGTATGTCCAGCCTTCCTGGGCTCCCATATTCTTCAGGGCAGTCTTCCAAGGTATTTTGTTAATTTAAAGCCATTTGTGATATCATAAGGTGTTTTCCTGGCTTTTAGCTGCCAGTTAGTAATCCATGAGTCACCACTGGTTTTGTTTTACCAATCAGCTGCTTTCACAGAATATCTTGTGTACAAACAGAAAAAAAAAATATATCGAAGAATGTATTTTTTATATGATTGACATCTTCATAATTCATCCAAATAGTTATTACTTCAGATTCAATTGTCAGAGAACAAAGAAAAGGCAGAAAATAAGAAGAAATTAGTGCTAATGTACAGAAATGTTTAATAATAGACACAATCTTTGCTCTCTTCATTATCCCCGAGATGTTTTTCATCCAATTCTAGGTATATTATTTAACTGACTATTTGTGAGCTGTTTAAAGTCATGGTAACTCCAATGCTAGCCTGTGCCTCTGGCAGTATCATCTCTTGCCTCTACTCCTATTTACAGCATTCTTTGTTCCTGCTTTTCACAGCTTCTGCTTTCATAACAGACCTGTATTACCCTGTATTACATCACCACATTAGAGTTATAAGCATTTCAAATAGTTCCTGTTTTCTCCTGTTAAATACCATACTATGCTTCTGCCATGCAAACATAAGCAAAAATTAAAAAAAAAGTTTAGCCATAGCTAATCTGATGAACCATGTGAAAATGAAGTTCTAGGTATTTACAAAAAAAAGTTCAGACAGAGACAGTCTGACAAGTCTCATTCCTGAGGCCTTGCAAAAGCAGTACAAAGACTGTAGCCTGATATTAACAATGGGAATATCATACTACATGTCTCTACAGCCTTAATCAAAGTCCCCTCCATTTAGGGGTTCTCAGGGGGGTTCATTGCCGTTCTCAGTGTCTGGCTATTATAACATGCCTATGCACAGGGGAATAACTGGTTTCAGCTATCTGTCTATCTATCTATCTATCTATCTATCTATCTATCTATCTCCTTATTACTTCAAGGACTAAGAAGTTTTTACTATGCTCTGCAGTAGATATGTAAACCTTAGTTCAACTGTCTCAAATAAGAATTTAGTGTCATTTGAAGTATCCTGGATTATGAATCTCGTTATGTGCCAGTGTAGAAGAGTGTGGTGGGTTAATCTCATCTGGCCACCAGGTACCCACCAAGTCACTCTGTCAACTTTCTCTCCTCAATAAGATAAGAGAAAATACAACAAAAAGTTCATGAGTCAAGATCACTCAGCAATTACAGTCACAATCAAAACAGATTTGACTTGGGGAAGACTGATTTACTGCTAATTAATAACAGAGTAGGATAATGAGAAAATAAGAACAAATCTAAAAAAAAAACAGCTTCCCCCCACCCTTCCCTTCTTCACAGACTCATCTTCACTCCCAATTTCTCCACCTCCTTCTTCCTGACAAGTGAAGTGAGATAAGGAAAGGGAGTTGCAGTCAATTCATCACACATCATCTCTGCTGCTCCTTCCTCCTCATGCTCTTCTCCTGCTCCAGGGTAAGGTTGCACCCACAGGATACAGTCCTTCATTATCTGCTCCAGTGTGGATCCCCCCAGGGTCCACAGGTTGTACCAGAAAATCTTCATGGACTCCTCTCCATGGGCCACAGTTTCTGCCAGGAGGCTGCTCCAGCATGGATTCTCCACAGGCTAGCACTTCCTTCAAGGCACATCCACCTGCTCCAGCATGAGGCCCTCCACGGGCTGCCGGTGGAGATCTGCTCCACCATGGCCTTTATGGACTGCAGAGGAACAACCTGCATTGCCATGGGCTTCACCATGAGCTGCAGGGCAATCTCTGCTCCAGCACCTGGAGCACCTCCTCCACCTCCTTCTTCACTGACCTTGGTGTCTCCAGAGCTCTTTCTCTCACATTTTCTCATTCCTCTCTCCCAGCTGCTGTTGTGTAGAGTTTTTTACCCCTTCTTAAATATGCTACGGCAGAGGCACTACCAAGGGTGTGTAGTGATAAAACAAGGGATAATGGCTTTAAACTGAAAGAATGTAGATTTAGAATCGATATAAGGAAGACTTTCTTTACTGTGAGGGTGGTGAGACACTGAAACAGGTTGCCCAGAGAAGTTATATGCCCCCTTCTTGGGGATCAGGTTCAAGACCAGGTTGGATGGGTCTTTGAGCAACCAGGTCTAGTGGAAGATGCCGCTGTGTATGGCA